AGAGCAGAGTAAATGGCATTTTAGCTGCTAATAATTTAGTATTAGCAGATAGCCTTTTTACTGCTAAAGATAACCACTGCTTAATCAGTTTAGTGACCACTGGCATATAGTATGACATTTAAGCCTGTGCCTCAGTGCCCGTGTTGAGGACACGGCTGCCGGTGACCCCTCTGCCCAGGCCTCCATCGTTCCCAATGTCAGCCCCAGCTGCCAACTGCACTCAACTGGCTTTAACTTCTGCATTATCTGCCATTTGCCTCCTTATCTTAGATCAAAGAGGAATTTTAAGTTCATACTACGGTTGTTAAAATCTAGGATCTTCTGTCTCTTTCTCTTTTTGTGGTCGGGGCTAATGGCTGATCACAGCACAGTCTGATTTTGAGATTAAAAAACAAGCCAGTGTTTAAAGGCAATCAAAATCTTAGGCTTCGTCTCCATTCATCTTTAATGCTGGTGTAATTGCTGCACAGATTCTGGCTCTTCCTGCAGACTTAATTTATTTTATTTTTGGAGCATGCCCCTGTCTGTCAGAGGGATGTTATACTTCCCTGAGCAGCATTAGCGCTGTTGAGCACTCCGCCACCGGCAATCCAGCTCACCCCATTTCATATCTTGCCAAACAAGTTAATCTAATATTAACAGCGGTTTGTTACCTCGTTGTTAGCTTAATTTACTCTACAAGAAATGCTGTATTTGCATTTCATCCCTCTGTCACTGGCTTGTGAACCGCGCTTCCCAAGGCCAAGAAGGGACGGCTCAGTCCCTCGGCACGGCACTGCCACACGGGGGAGGGGGACATCACCCCCACCAGGCATCTTCCCTAATTGGCCAGGGGGGATGTGGGGAGCTGGGAGGAGGATTTCCAAAGCCACAGAGCAGGTCCTGGAAATGCAATATTGGGAGTAGCACAAATGCCGCCGCTGCTCTTCCAGTAATAGAGCTGAGTCGTAGACAGCAGCTTTCCCTGGCGGCAAACATATCCAGGAAATGTCTTTAGTATGGAAATCAGCAGACCTATGGGCACGGGGCAGACGTCTGCAACACCAACAGCTTCCTCAGGCTTTCAGGGAGTGCCCCTGCACACCCCAGGGACTCAGCCATGTCTGTCTGTCCACCACAGACAGCACGGTGAGGGCCCTGTGCCTCACTTCCAAATCGCTGGGTGAGGGAGCTGTGAGCAAAGTCCTGCAAGCAATCACGCAAAAGCCAGTTCCCCAAATGATCCAGCAGCCCATGGAGCAGTGCCAGCTGATGTGCTGGTGGGCAGGGGGATGGAGCTGGGGATGCCCCATGGGGTGGCATCAATGATCCCACACCTGGGGCTGTCCCAGCTAGGTAGGAATGTGGAGTTGTTGGAGGTGGAAATGACTTTCCAGTGAAAGCTTCTGACTTAATTGTTCACGAGCTCACTCTGTGTCCCACTGATAAACCCTGTCCTTGTTTATGGGGCCCTGGCCTCCCACCTCCTCCAGCAGCTGCTGCCTTCCACTGCTTAAAGGAAGGGAATGACCTGGGTGTCTTGCTCTGGTTTTAACAGCAAAATGCTGAAGGATGCCAAGGGCAACTCTGGCCAGGCTGAGACATCTGTCAGGGCAGTTTTGTGGTGCTGAAGGTTTTTTGTGAAGGTCTGAGAGAAAGCAGGGCTGGAAGGACCAAACCCAGAGAAACAGCAGGAAACAGAAAGGTGGAATGAAGCAGGGGAACAGCTGCAGGTGAAAGCACCAAATATTGGGTGATTTTTGTGAGCAATTGGAGGGCAAGTGCCCAAAACAGAGAGCAGTTTTGCCACAGAAGCATTATGAAGGCACTCATAAGTGACGTAAACAGTGCAAGTGTAAATATAAATGCACATCCAGCCTCTACTGCTGACTGGCCACATGAACCTGAAGCTGCAGGAGCTTCCTGGAAGGAATGTTTCACTGCTAATTTAGATTATTTGAGGAGAGGAAGAAGGTGCTGCCTGCTGTCTGCCTTAAGGGGAGCAGAGGGGCCAGCTGCCTGTTTCAGTCCTTGATAATAACACTGCTGGAAAGAAATGCTGCTAATGCAACCTGGGCTTTTATGGGTGATTTTACTTAGAAAATTACCTTGAGAATAGCTTTATTATTATTGAATAGGATCAGGCATTTTCTTAAAGGTCTTGACATCCCTACAGAAACTAGAAAATTGTGATTTTATTTAATGAAAATATTGTTGTTCAAAACCTGTTTCACTCTGGGGCTTACCCTTCAGGCCCATGTGCCTCCCAGCAGTGGAAAAGCATCAATTTCGTCTGCCTCTCTCTCTGCAGCTCACACAGGGATTTTTCACCCCAAAATGCTTCCCTATGCACTGTGCCATCCATGTCTATGCCAGTGGGTTACATATAAGCTTTTTAGTAGGAGTAGAGTGGCCATCAGTGGTGCTCAGAAATGCTGCCACCCTGTAATGACAAACCCTGGTGACAGCCACCCCGGATTGTTCTTCTCCCCTTGGCTTTGGGTCCCATCACGGTGGTGACTCCTCAAGCCATGGCCTCCAGTTGGTGCCTCAAGGGCAGTGGATGTTCAAAACACTGCCCAAGGTGTCCCTGTCCCCGTCCTCCAGCAGCAGCTACAGGAAGGGCCCCAGTCTTCAAGAATGGCTTTTCAGAAAGTCTGTTATTGAATTTAAGTAACCCCTTTAATGCCCAGTGCTTGGGTTCAGAAGGAGGGACTTCTGTTTGCAGTTTGGTTTTCTGAGAAGAGCCTATCTTTGTCATAATTTAGGGTTTTCTAATGATTATTTCTTAACATTCTTGCTGAGCAGAGCACAGAGATGCAGTGAAGCATCTTGCCTTGGCAGCACACACAGTGCAGTCACAGCAGCCCTGGGGGGCTGAGGCAATGACCTCTGCCAGAGGAGGAGGAGGAAAGGTGCCCCAAAGTCTCAGCTGGAATGCAAAGGTTCAGGACACAACATCTTCCAGAGCAGGATGCCTTGCCTTTGCACCTCAGAGGAAGCTCTAGGAAATGCCATCCTTTGGCAAGAGACAATCATCAACATCGCGGCTCAGTTGTGGCCACAGTGACAGCCCAGGGGCTGCTCCTGGCTGCCCTGAACCAGGTCCCCTCACCCCACCGGGGAGCAGCAGCCTCATAAATAATTCCTCAGTGCAATGGCAATGTTGTAAAACATGAATATTTAGTGCATGCATAATAGTTGTTTATTCTTACTTAAATGTCAGCTGATGAAAACATATCTAAAAGGATCCATTCCCAGGGAAGCACAGGCAGCTGGAGGAGATGGATGCAAAGTCACTCTGTTTTTTGCCACACTGAAACCCAGGGCAGCAGTGATGGGCCCCTGCACTCTCCAGCTGCAACATATTCCTGCTCCCTGGGTGCCAGACCTGGGGGAGCCAGTGCTGTCACACTCTCAGCACGTCTATCTCCCACAAAGGGAGGGTTTCACATTTGTGCCAGAGCTGAATTTGGCTGAAACTCTGCCAGTTTGGGGTGTGCACTCTCAGCACGGGTGACGGGGTGGCCATAACTTTGCAGGATAAGGATGCTGTGGATGCAGGGATGTGGCCAAAGATGCAGGCAGGCAGTCCCCCCTCATCCTGCCTCTCTCCTGCCTGTCTCCTGCCCACTGCCTCTCACTAGCATGAACGTTCCTCACTGGGGAAGGGGGAAAAAAATAAAAAGAGAGAGAAATGAATTATCAGTAAAGTAAAGAAACAGAAAGTTATGAAGGACAATTTTTTTTTTCTGTCAATACACACAAAGAGACAAAAATTGGAAGCTTTTGAGGAAAAGAAATGCGTCTGAACTTCTGAGAGAGCGAGAAAGTACTGAAAAGCCCTGCCATGCCGAGCTCCTCTGAGGTAACTTCTGTGCTTGGAAAGAATATTTCAGAAGACATTTTATTCTTTAGAAGATGCCAAAAATGCAAGACTTGGCACTTTAACAAAACAGAAAAAGGAAAACACATAATCTTCTTAACTAGTAAGTCTTTGAGCCCAGGATCACATTGTTGCCATATAATAAAAAGGGATGTTATGCAGTAAATTGGGCAGTTAAGAATTCTGTGCATACTCAAAATCGTGACATTTCAAGGACAATAAAGTTGGCTGGCTCGTGGCCATTGGCCATACGAACAGAAAACAAAAAAAATGGATTGTCAGCTGGTTATTCATACCGCATTATAAAACAAGTCTCCCAACAGGCAAACACTCTTTATTGCTTGTGTTTTTGCTCCAGAAATATATTTTTTAATTAAAAAAAAAAAGGAGTTCTCGCAGCATTCATCTTACAAATGTTAACCCCTTAAAAGACAATTCTGACATGCTTTGCCGCTGGCTTTTCCACTTTATAAATGTTCTACAGACAAGGAGAAGATCAGAAGGAAAAATTTATTTCTCACATGGCATAAGTGTCTGTTTCTTTATGGGGAGGAAAAAAAAAGAATCAAGACATTTGAGACAGCTTTATATGCTATTAATCACACGGGATGCAATTAATCATGTGGGATTAATCTGTTTTGATTTTTGGGGCGTCTGACTTGAAATCATCCCTGGAGAGTTGTTTGCCAGAGCAAACACAGAATCCGTGAGCGTGTGCCAGGTGATGTCCCCAGAGCTGCTGCCAGGGCTGAGGATGGTCCCTGGGCTGCAGGGTGGGGCTGGTGGCACGGATGTGGCTCAGGGAAGGGGACCTGCCGTGGGCAGGGCGTTGTTTTGGCTGTGGCTGTGTAACTTTAGCTCGTGTGTCACTTTACCCTGACCTGCAGGGCTGTCCAGGCTGCCCGAGGGCCGTGCTATCACTGCAGTTGTCATACACTGCACAAACAATGATTCCTGCTTCCCCATGGCTGCATTGCACACGGGCAGTGATGCTGCTCCTCCTGTGCTTCCTGCAGGCCTTGCTTCTCCAAGTTCAGCCAGGAATGCTGAGGTACTGGGCAGTGATGCTGCTCCTCCCTGCTGCTCCAAGTTCAGCCAGGAATGCTGAGGTACACCCTGCAGGTTTCTGACACGCTGCTGTGGCCTTCCTCTGTCCCTTTAACTGTCCCAGGGGGCTGTGCTGGAGCAGCTGCAGGTGGTTTGCAGGAAGATGATCAGGGCTACACCTTCTGCAGGTGGTGGTGGAAGTTGGTTTGGGCTGAGATGCTGCAAGTCTCACCTTGGAACAGGTCAGTGGGCTTTTTCTGAGCCTTTCTTTGGGGTGGAGAAAGTGTAGGATGTGTCTGCATATCTTGGGCAAGGGAGTGAGCCTTGTGATGCAGACATGGTATGTGCTGGTGCTGTGTTGTTCTGGCTCCTTGCTAGGAGTTGCAGTAGTACCTAAGGAATGTCAAATCACTGGTTAAGTCACGTCCCCTTGGCTGGAGAACAGGTCTGCCAAGGGGGGGAATGATGCCCTGTTTGGTCACAAAACTCCCACCCCCTCCTGCTGGGTTTTGGGAGAGAGGCTGAGTCAGGCTGTCGTGCTGAGAGTTTTTCCCCTCTGTCATTTGAGTAAATCTGTCCTGACCACAACTTAGGGGAGAGGCTTGGTCAAAAAAACTTCTGTAAGTGTTTTCTGGAAAATGCTGGTTGTTTGTTTGTAGAAATGGCACTGGGCTAGATCCTGAAATTATGCAAATAAATTTGCTGCCTGTCAAGGTACTGTATTTGTCTCACCTTCTGAGTCCTAGGTCATCTCCCTGCTCTTCTATAGTAGCTTCCACTTTCTGTGCCACTGGTTTCCAAACAGTTCCCTTCCTTGCTCCTTCTGCTTCTCCCTCGCCTCCCAAATTATGGAGCATCTTTTTTGCAGTGTGTTTTTTCTCAACCTTTCTTTCATATTTTAATCTACTTTTGTCTCTCCCCTTGCCCTGCCTATATGTGTTGTTTCCCATATTTACCTTGTTTTGATTGTACATTCGGTGGGACAAAGCACAATGCTGCCATTTTGTGGATAATTAAATCCTCCTGGTTGTGGTCCAGCCAGTGGGACAACTCATGCAGGAGGATATAAACTGCCTGGATTTGCATGCAGAGCCTGTCATCTGCTGTGAATCATTTTGGGATGCTTTTGCATGAGCGAAGCTGTTTAAAAATAAATTGTATTGTATTAGACTAATGGAAGATAATAAATTCAGTTGGTCTTTTAGCTTAGAATTCATCAATGTCTGGAGCTGGAAGGGGGGAAGGAGCTGGAGGACATCGAGCCATCCGGCAATTAATGGCCAGGAGCTCGGCCCTTGCCAGGCTGCAGTGATGCCCAGCAGTGTCACACTGCTCTGGCAGCTTGAGCATAGCACAAGCACTAAACCCTTCTTAAAAAGGCAAAAAAACTACCCAAAATATCCTCCCTCCTTTTAAACATCAATTAGCAAAATACCCTTTAATCAAAGCCTGCTCCAAGTGGCACTAGGCAAAGTTCTTATTCCAAGATCAAAAACCTTTGAATTACTGAAGCCTTTCAATCCTGATGGCATTTGATGTCCCCATGCTACAGCAGGGAGAGCCCTTTTTTGGGAGGCGGGTGTAATTTCCCCAAGATAGAACACATCAGCTCTGCTCTGATTTTGGCCAGCAGTGTGCACGAGGCTTGTGCAGGTCCTCACTGGGCAGTTTTGGGGGAGAACAGCTCACAGGGTGCACCCACCCTTGCAGGGGGTGCCCTGTAGCCCCATCCTGGCCCGGGGGTACTGCAGGCAATGACGTTGTGGTGATTTCTGTGCATCACCCCCTGCCCCTGTGTCCGTGTGTCCCAGCACAGGCTCTCCCAGGTTCCCTGCACTGCGGCAGCAGGTGGCTCCGGCGCTGCTCCAGGACAGCATCCCTGTGCTGTGACAGCAAGCCCTGGCTCTGGCAGAGGGGCCTCTCTCCCACGAATATCCAGTTGCTTTTGCCCTCTGTGTGGATGATGCCTTCTCATCCCAGTGCTGTTGGGATTTTGGGGTGATTCTGGTGACTTTGCAGAGCAAGGAGGCTCTCACCTCCTGCAAGCACGTGGAGGGAAAGCAGCTTATTAGCAGAGCAAATAACTCACAGTGAATAATTCCTTCAACAAGCACAACTCCTATTTTTGAATATCTGCAAAGGGGCTGTGCTCTTCCTGAGACTGTTGGTACTCAGAATTAACGGAGTTTGGGTTTTTTTTCCCCTTTTGGTTTGGGGTGTGTGAGTGTGCTGTCTGTGCTGGCCAGCTGCAATGGCTCACACCAATTGCCTCTCTGGCACCGCCAGAGTAGCCCAGCACTCTCCCTCTGCACAGCCAGGACAATTTCCTAGAAATGTCATAATTCCCTGAAAATATGGCAAAAGCCAAGACTGGTATGGACAGGATTAATATTCACCTAAAAAAAAGGCTCTGTAGGCAAAGCTTGTGCACTGATGGAAGGTGAAGACAAAAGCCCTCTAAGCAGGGCTGCTCATTTAAACTCATCTGTTTAAACTCATCTGAGTGTTTGAGAAAGTGCTCTGGATGCATTTTTTCTAGTAATTTTTATTTTCTTATGTTTGACCCACTACAACAGTTAGTTTTCTTTCATATTTCCAGTGGTGCTCCGCTGAGGATGCCAAGAGTACAATTTATGGAAGGAAAAGGTGCAGCAAATAGATGCTTTGGCCTCTATAAAGTACTCCTGCCACTTAAGAAGCCACTTGATGAATGGAACCTTTGGTTGATGTCATTTGCTGGCTTTGTGAGCAGCTTCTCCTAAAGTCTTGCTTTGAGGAAAAGCATATTTTAAAATAAGTGTGTGTATGATCTGGACTCTGCTCTTACAAGTGGTGAGGCTCAGGATCCTGGAAACTCAACTTATGGCTGATAACAGGATCAAGCAGCACTGTGGTAGCTTTCCTCCTTCAGCTACCCCAAACATTGCATTTACAGCAGGAGATAAAGGCTGTGAGAAAGTTGCAGGTACAAACACACCTTGCTTTGAACCTTTGTTGTCTTTCCTCGCACACAGACCACTGGCAGGGCTCATCTGGCCAAAGTTAACCCTGCCCATCCATGTCCCAGATCAGGGTCCCAAGGGGATGACTTGGCAGGGGCTTTTTCAGCAGCAAGGTGTGGTGGGCAGCACCTGCTTGGCTATGGGGTTATGGCTGGCTACCCCACGAAAATAAAATAAGCTCAGGTTTTATCCCCATTAGCAAAAGCTCAAACCACTGCCCCGTCCCCGTGGCTGGAGATGGTCTGAGAGAGGAGGAGGCTCCAGGGCTGCCTGCTGCAGATGTAAGAGGTGGAATTTGGGGTCAGGGGTCTGGTCCTACAGCATTCTGCTCCAGCTCCTCTCACATTGTTGGCTCTGCCCTGAGTTTTCCAGGGATTTCTTGCAGAGCACACCACTGCTGTGCTGCAGACCACCTCCAGTGCCACAGGAGCATTCCCAGGGTGTGTGTGGGGGGTACAGGAGCCACACCTGGGGCTGTGCAGCAGGTAAACCTGTACCTGCAGTGTGGTGGCTGCCCTGGTAAATTACACTGCTCAGGAGTTCACTAGATCAACTTTCTAGTCAGCCCAGGTCTTCTTTTTTATTATCCAATTAACTGTACATATTAATAAGAAATTTTCTTTTTATATAAAACCGAGCAATTTTTTTTTTTTCTCTGCCTGGAGTAACATAAATTGACCTTTTCATATATAGCTTCAGTGTCCTGGGACTGATTTGTGGATATATATTGCTGCTTAGAAAGGCTGTAATTTACAAGTGATTGTTTGGAGGGCTTCAAATTACCACCACTCACATAATATATATGGATATATAAACAAAAATTGAAGCTTTTTGGTACATTCTACATAAACAATTTTCTTGGGAAGAAAAAGGTTTCTCAATAAAAATAATAATAATAAAGCCCTGGGTTTTTTTATATCTATGCCACTACATAAAGTAGGGGTAGATCACTTCAGTCCTTCATTTATTATTCAGCATTTCCGGATCATTTCCTCTAACTTTGTGTTTTTTTCATCATATATAAATAAATAAAATCCTTCTGTATTCCATTCCTGATGGGTTTGGGGTGTGGAGGTAGCAGAAACCCTTCTGCCCAGCCCTGCCTGCCTGTGCTGTCTCTGAGAAGAATGGGGATGGGAAGGATTAGCTCCAGCTCCCTTAATGAAATATCACTCCAGCTTCTAAGTCTCTCTCACAGAAAAGTACCTGCATGCACAAAGAGAAATACTTTGGGAAGCTGCTCATGTTTTTTATGGCCCTGCTGCTGGGAGCTGCTGACAGTGTTTGCTCTCAGCAGTCAGGCTGTTAAAGCCAGATAGCCTAAAGTCCCTGTTTTACTTTGGAAGGTATTTCTATGAGATTTTTTGGCTTTCCTGGTCCATGAGAGAAAAGAATTCCAAGCAAAAACCAGGGTCAGCAGGAGCAGCCAAGGGCACAGTTGCAAGAGGTGTCCTGCAGCAGCACCACTGAGCACCCAGGGCTGTGCGCCTGCCCACAACATTTGTCCAGCCTCCAGTGTCTGTGCTTTGGGGGCAGCTGTAAGGAGATGTCGTATTGTAAGGCAAAGGGGCCTTTCAAGCCATTAATTTGTCAAGTTGCTGTTTTATTTTGGTTTTTTTAGCTCCTGTGAACTTTGAGGCATGTTTCATAGTTTTGTGATTTTTTTTTCTCAAAGTTATAAACAGGTTGACGGAAGTTTAGATGACTTTATGTGTCATGAAAGTAGATTATTTAGTGGTAGTTAATGTTCCTTGCCCATCAGAAACCAAGGAATTTTTAGTCCCTTTACTAAAGGAAGCAACACAATCTGCCTTCAGCTGCCAGCGTGCGTTTCTAATGAAATCTAAGGGTTTTAAAATGAGCACAACTTGAGCAGAGGAAAAGGGGTCTCGATGCAACAAGAACATGCTTTTAATTGAGATTAGTTGGTCCATATTCCATTAGCAAATCCCATCCCAGGGACACTGTTCCTGCACAGGCAGGCAGGATTTATCAGCCTCGGTGCTCCCCTGTGCTGCTGCTCTCCCAGGGAGCCGCGAGGAGCGAGGCGGGACAGGCTGCTGTATATCACCCATCTCCTGCTCACCAAATGATGATTCAGATTCACACTGAGATCTATAAAAGTCAGTGGTTTATTGCTGTCTTGTATTTCTGTATTAACCACCTCATTATCATCCCAAATGGAGTATAAATCTGAGGGTATCCAGTTGCTCCAGCCCGTGTGCTTGCGCTCCCCCGTC